GGCTTCGTGGCGTGCGAAGAGACCGCCCGGCGGTACGGCCGAGACGCCTACCTTTCGAAGGAGGAGGCGGCGGTCCTGGCAAAGGATCGCGCCATAGGGTGGGGGTCGAATCAGGCATGCCTAGGATGAGGATGAACCGCTCCAGAGCGTTCCAGAACGCTCTCAGAACGTCCCGGAGCGCTCTATAACTATTGTTGATCCCCCTCCTTCTGGTAACCATTGTGTTTTTGAGTTGAAGTGCTTCTCCCGGAGCTCGCACCCTGTTTTTTACAAGGGAAGCGAGGGGTCACCAAACTGGGCCCCTGGCCCCCGAGTTACAACAACAACGGCTCCTTCCTGATATTTCCTCACAGTTTATTCCCATATCGCGCTCTCGCGTAGGACTTCCTCACAAATTATGCAGGAATCGCGCTCTCGCGTGGGACTTTCTCATTTATTCAGACGCCGCGCCCTCGACACTCAGGAATCACGCTCTCGCTGTGGATTGCCTTGCGATTTATTTGGGAATCGCGCTGTCGCTCGAGACTTCCTCGCGATTCATGCAGGACGCACGCTTCAGCAACCCGCCTGCTCGACCTGGCCGCCTGGGCCCGCCTTCCCGACCCGCCCGTTAGGGTCTATCCGCCCGATCTGCCCGTCTGATTCTGCCACGCGTTTTCTGCTCCTAGCCCCCCTCCTGCTACTTTCTCCTCTCGTGCTCCATCTTCCTCCCTCCCCCTTGTCCCTTCGTTCCGTCCGTCCACTCTCCCTCTGCTTTAGTGGCTGCGCGACATTCAAGTAGCAGGTAAGACGTATATCTACCAACAAGGGGGTACGATCGAAGATGAAGAGGGCGGGTATCGAGGGTTTGGGGTATACGTGTTGAATGCTGCCCCCCCGAGCAGATAAGAGCGAACAGTCTTCGAATGATTGAATACTCACTTCAAAAGAGTATTTATGGTTGATCTCAGGAAACGGTTCCGCGCGCTCTCGTCGCCTCGAAGCCGTTTTTTTTTTTTTTTTTTTGTTTGTTTGTTTGTTTGTTTGTTTGTTTGTTTTTATATATATATATATATATATATATTTATTTATATTTTTTATATTCATATATATATATAGATATGATTAAAAAAAACGAGGCTCCCGCGCGAGCGTTGGCTGGAGTGCAAGTGTGGGCCTTTGGAGGCCCCGCTGCGACGACAACGGCTACCGCTCGATACTTCCTCGCAATTTATCCCGAGACACCCTGGCTAGAGAGGCCCCCAAACTCAGGAACGGCGCTCTCGCTCGAGACCTCCTTGCAAGGCCCAGCTACGACGACAAGGGCTCCTGCTCGATACTTCATGATTTACTCCGAGAGCCCTTAGCCAGGAAAGCCTCCGAACTCAGGAACGGCGCTCTCGCTCGAGAGTTTCTCGCACTTCAGTCATTGGCTGACAAGGAAGATATTCCCTTCGGGGGTGCAATCGAAGGCGAAGTGGGCGGGTATCGAAGGTTGGGGTATAAAGAATGCAGGACACACGTGCCAGTAAGAGCGAACAGTCTTAACATGATTGTTGCTTTTGTTGCTGCTGCTGCTGTTGCTGCTGCGGCTGTTGCTGTTGCTGCTGTTGTTGCTGTTAGTGTAGTTATTGTTTTGTTGTTGTCGCTGCTAGTTGTTATGGTTGCTGCTGCTATTGTTGTTGTTGCTGCTGCTGTTTGCAGTTTTTGCTGCTGTTGATTTTGTTGCTCCTGCTGTTGTTGCTCTTGTTGTTGCTGCTGCTGTGGTGGTTGTTGTTGTGGTTGTGTTTTTGTTGTTGTGGTTGTTGTTGTGGTTGTTGTGGTTGTTGTGGTTGTGGTTGTGGTTGTGGTTGTGGTTGTGGTTGTGGTTGTGGTTGTTGTTGTTGTTGTTGTTGAACATTATTTATTCTAAAGAATAATTATTGTTGGGCCCCCTGGTGCGCGCCCCCCCTGCGCCGCCTAGGCCGCAGCTACATTTTCATCATTTTCGTGAGGAAGCCTCAGAAAAGAGGGTGTGTACAGGATCCGGTTGTTTTGTTGTAATCCGCTTTCCCTTGCAAAAAACAATAGAAAATGACATTTCTTGTTCTAATATAATCAAATTTCAAGAATCCCTTGCAAAAAATAAGGTAAAGTGGACATTCGCGCGCGCAAGACGAAATCCTTCCAAAACCTTAGTGTTCGCAGCGATTTTAACATAAAAACATCAAAAAACCAATGGTTTTTCAACAAAAAAATGTCAAAATCTCATCCCGCGCGCTCTTGCGGATTCGTAGGAAACCCAACACTTTTTAAACATTTCTGTCAAACGGGCTTTTGCGAGCAACTTTTTCGAACTTCTGCGACAACGGTTGCGCACCTGCCAGGGCCATCATCCCTGTCAAATAATACCATGCGGGACACATTCGTTTTTTCTTCGCGCGCGCACGCCGAAATCTCCAAAAACCATTGGGCTTCTTAAGAATTTTAGCACCGCGCATCATAAAATCACACGAATCGCACCGTAGGTCCTCGAAAAACACCTGCACGAGTTTTCAAAATTTCTACCCGCGCGCGCTGTCCGAATCCTAAACAAACCAATGGTTTTCCAACATTTATGTTACATGAGCTCGCGCGAGCTACTTTCGCACGCTCTTGCAACGGGGTTCGCGCGCCTGCCAGGGGCCACAATCCCTCAAGAAGGGGGCAAGAAGGATATACCCCCCAAGGGGGCACGATCGGGACAACCACAACCATCAGGACAACCATGGGGACAACCATCGAGACAACCATCGGGACAACCATATCCTCTCTCTCTTGTGTATTCCCACATCCCTCAGGAATTTGCCCTAAAGATGTGATCAACTATCTTGTGAGTACGTATCATGTGTATCATGTGTATCATGTACCATATGCATCATATGCAACAGATGTTCTGTGGAAGGCTTAACAACTTCTGTGGGTTAACAAGGCTTAACAACTTCTGTGGGTGTACGAACGTAGGCTTAACAACTTCTGTGGGTGTGTACTCCACGCCAGTGTAGTAGCCACGGTCGTCCGCAGGCCACGAAGTGAAGTGTCCGAACGTCATAGGGCGGGAAGCTGGGTGTGGGTGGTGGCGAAGAGTCGTGTGGATATTTGGTAGAGCTTGCACTGCCCCCCCACAAAGTGGGGGTATTGGCTGGCGTCGCATGAAAACCCTGGCACTGGTGAGAACACTGAGCGTTCGGGTAAAGTGATTGTTGTTGTTGTTGTTGTTGTTGTTGTTGTTGTTGTTGTTGTTGTTGTTCTTATTGGTTTTGTTGATGATGCTGATGATGCTGCTTCCGATGATGATGATTCTGATGATGATGCGTAGTATTTTTGCGACGGCCATGCCGACAACGATGATATGATGGGATGCTCGTGGGCGGCTTTGTTTGGGTCACCGGCGGTCGGAGTCCTGTCAGTTTGTTCACAGTGATGTCCCTCATAATGATGATGACGACTATGCTGATGAGGCGGATTAAGAGGAGGACGAGGCAGGAGAGGAGGAGCTTATTGCCTTGAGCTGTCCCACGTCTGACAATGATGAGGATGAGGAGGAGGAGGGGGGAGAGGAGGAGGAGGAGGGGAGGAGAAGGAGCTGGGAGGAGAATGTGGAGGCGGATGCGGAGGCGGAGGGGGAGGGAGAGAAGGGAGAAGGCGGAGGATGTAAAGGAGGAGGATGAGGAGGAGGTGGAGTAGGAGGTCAGCATGACCAGGAAGCGATCCACAACGGATGGGGGCCTCGAAGCAGCGGGCAGGGGATTTGGATTTGGGTGAGGTTCTTGTCTTTGATCCTCAGCGTCGTCATGTCGGCGTCGGCAGCACCGCAACTCCCAAATGACCCGCCCGCACGCCGGCGCCAGTCCGCAGACTCTGCCTTCGGTGGCACGGCAGCAGCCCGACTTCTTGCCCGCAGGCTCGGCTGCCCATGCAGCATCTGCCCCTTTCGCCCGCGTTCTCCCCAGCTCCTCGTCGCCCCAGCCCCCTTCACCCTGATGCGATTGCGGTGGTGGGCTCAGACGTCTCCCCACTCTCTGCCTGGGTTTCGCGGATGCACCTGCCAGAGGCTCCTCCCCCCTGGGGAAGGGAAATTGGCTGTTGCCAGCCCTCCGGACTGGATCCAAATAGGCTGCGTCAGAGTCGCAGTGCCAGCCCTGGTCATATGCTGCGTCATATGCTGGAGTCCTCCCTGGTGCCTCCGCCATGATGGTTTCTACTGGATGAATAGTCGTCATTGCCCACAGGTGCTGTGCCTGCCATGATCAGCCTTGAGGAGCCAGTCTCGTATGTGTGATATGTGTTTTTTGGCCTATGACGTGTTTGGGTGTGCATGCAGGTGTATGTGTGTATATATATATACACAAATGTAGATATATGTATTTGATAATGTTGTTCTTCTTCGTGCCAACAGCGGGTTCGTGAACAGAGAGAGGAGGGCAATAACAACAAAAACGACAATAACAACAATATGACACGCAAAAGCGCAACAGGAGGGTAGGCGGGCCGTTACCTGCATGGCCCGCTCCAGGGTGCTATAAGACCTGGCCTCTCCGTGCCTGCTCTTGCCCACCAGCCTGCGCCAGCAGACTTCCTGCTGAGATGCCCGTGGCTTCTCCTGCCCCTCGCGGGGTCGGTCGGTCGGTCGGTCGGTCGGTCGGACGGTCGGACCGACGACGACAACGACGACGACGACGACCGATGACGACGACGACGACGGCGACGACGACGACCAAAAAGCGTCTCGCACACGCCGGCAGGTTCGGATGCAACTCCTGGGAGGTCAACTTCGGATTTTGCCCTTGTCCGAAACCTTGCTTACTCCGAAATCTTGCTTAATCCGGCTTGAACCCCCTTAATCCGGCTCAATCCCGCTTACTCCCGCTGGTTCTGGCTTACTCCCGCTGAATCCGAGACCCACTCCGGCGTAACAGCTCCCCAATGGGGCTCAATCCGTCTTAACCCTTCCGAACAGGACCTCCCAGTAGTTGCCTCCTAAGACAGAGTCGCCAGATTTGCGCGGGGCGGGCGCGTCGCTGCGCGCTGCCGCCCCCCAAGCGGACGGCCGGCGCCCTTCGCGCAGGAGGCGGGCCCCCTCCTTGCGGCAGGCCTTGGTTCGTCCGCCTGCGGCTGCTGCCGCTGCCGCTGCTGTGCTGCGTGGGCCCAGCAGCAACTTGGGACCGAACAGTTATTCTCGGGACCGAACATGTAGCTTATTATTCGGTGACACGTTTTTTGTTCGGTCACATTTTGTTTTTGTCGGCCACGCGCAGAGGGGGGTAGGGGGAGGGGGGAAGGCTTCTTAGAAGCACCCCTGCTTCTTAGAAGGCGCGGTCCTTGTGTATAGATGTAAGGCCGCCGCCTTCTAAGAAGCAGCCTCCCTCTAAGAAGCCTTCCCCCCTCCCTCCACCCCCCTCTGCGCGCCGCCAATTTTGGTTCGGTCCCGCGATTTTTTTGTGTTTCCGTGGCGAGCAACTTGAGCTCGCAGCCGGCGGGGGGCATGGGGTGGCCCAAGCACTGGGTGCTGGCCAGCAGGAAGGGGGGGGGCGAGGCTCGGGGTGCCAGGTTCGGGGAGGTCTCTTTGCCTTCTTCGGCCTCCAGGGCGTTTTTTTTTTCGGGCCCGGGGACTTTTCGGGCCGGGGGGGGCTCGGGGTGCTGGGTTCGGGGAGGTCTCTTTTTGCCGTCTTCGGCCTCCGGGGCGTTTTTTTTTCGGGCCCGGGGACTTCTGCGGCCTCTGGGGGCCGTGCAGCATGGATCTTGGTGGAAACATTGCAGCAGAGTGACCCTGGGAGGGGTCCGGGGGCCGATTTTTGAAGGATTTGGCCTCGTCCCCCCTGACCGATTTTCTGGGGTCCCAACCAGTTTACCCCTCCGGGCCACCTTCAAACTTCAGCAGGATCCTGGGACGATTTGTGAGCACCGTACCGCGTCGGCGTTTCTCGAGGCGTCATCGATCTTCGACCCAGGGATGGTTTTGTGGGAGCCCATGCCACTGCGAGGATACCCTGGGTTTCTTCGGCTTGTCTTCGGGTTGAAGGCTTGAGGCTGTCGCGAAGAAACCGCAGCTGGCAGGGTACCCAGAGTGTCTTGACGCTGAGATGCTTTGCGCGAGCCAACAATCAACCGCCTGGCCCAGGGTACCAGGAGTTTCTTCGCTGACAGCCGCTAAGCGAGAAACCCAACCCTGGCCCAATAAGTGTCGGCGATTTTCATGGTTGGGTTTTGTTGCGATGGGTTTCTTGCGGAGTGGTCTTGACTGTACGGTGCGTGGTGTTTCGGCCCTCAGAGCCGAACAACCATGCACCGTGCCGCTTTGGGGTGGGGCCTGACGGGATCCAAACATGTTACGGTGCATGGGCGCCATTCTCTCACAGGAGGCATCCATCCACCACCACCGCTCCTGGCCAGAGCCAGCCTGGACCCTGCGGTCGATCAGCCGTAGGATGATGTAGAGATCTCCTGGCCTCGGACAGGAGGGCGTATGCACCATGCCAGGGCCCAGGATGGTCCTGGCCAAGCTCGGTGGTGGTGTACAGACGCCTTCGCGCACAGCTGCATCGAGCTGCTCTGCGCCTCGCGACGTCCGCCGGGGGGTTCAACCTCGCCTCCGTCGGCGCCCCCACGCCGCGCTGGAGGCTGCGGCGCCCTGCGCGCCCGCGCGTCAACGTTGACTCGAAGGTGTGCTCCCGACTCGCTTGCCCACTGCAGGGTTTTGCTGTTGATGACGTGGGCCGCAGGTTCTGGTCGTGCAGGCGACGGGTTGTCTCGGTCGCAAATGCTCCTTCCTCTTCTCCCCTGTCAGCTGCGCAATAAGGACCCCATTGTTGGCTTCGCAGCCGCCGACGGCGCCGATGGCAACCAGCCGCCCATCAAGGACCGACGGCTCTCTACGCTCGCAGGGATGGGACATCAGTTACGACTCTTAGGCGCAGTGGACACCTGTAAATTCAGATTTCCGCACCAGATATCCTCGTCATCAGAGGATGGACGGGCTCAGAAACCACGTATGGGGAACGGGAAACCAGACTTCAGAGACACCGAGGCGTGCCCACGAGAGTTTGATCGAGGACCAGACCTGCCGCGCAGCGCTTCTTTTGTTGCGCTCGAGTCCGTCATTACGTCCTCCGCACTCGCTGTGCCCTCCTGCGCGGTACCTGCACAGTGGAGAGCCTCGCGGCAGGAGAGGTATGAGGAATTGCTGGCATTGTGAGCAGTCCAGCATCATTTTGCGATCAATCGGGCAGTCAATTAGAGTGAGGCATTTTGGTGGAGGCAAGAAGGCTGGGGTTTGCCAATGACCAGCGCATTCTGGCTGGTCTTGAGGGGAGGAGGCAGAGGAGGAGGAGTGATGAGGACTGGGTTTACCAACATCTTCTCGGTGGGCCTTGCGTCTGAGAGCAACGAGGAGAGAGGCGGAGGCAGAGGGACCTGTGCGAACATGAAGGCAAGCCAGATGCTCGAACAATCGCCTCGAGTAAAATTCTAAATGGGCATGCACGCATGCATGCTGGCTCAAACATTCATACGCGCAAGCATACGCAAACACGCACACACACACACACGTACGCAAGGCACACTCGTTTACACAATGCACGCGCACACGTTTGTTTGCATTCGAACATCATCCATGAGGTCACGTTACGTACTCATGCACGCAAAGCATGCACACATACGCGATTACAGAGTAAACAGTGCATGCTGGTGCCCAGCTCCCTAGGCAAATCCATCTTGAAACTCTATTGGGGCTGCTTTGAAGTTTTCTTGGGGGAATGTTGGGGCCTGGTGGTGCGGGTATCTCGAGGCCTCTGCGAGGCCTCTTTCGGGGATCTTTAAGCCTCTGGATGGGCCATTTGGGGGGGCGAACGCTTTTCTAGTATTTATCGACGACGCCTGCGGCGAACCACTGCCGCCCCCTGCTTTTTGGAAACGCCTATGTGGCCAAACGTTGGGCCGAAGTCTTGCCAAGCTTTTGGACTACGTGTTTCTCCAGCCGTTGTGGAACCTTTGGGGGAAGATTTGGGAGAGGGGGAGACACGAGGATGAGATGGAGGAGACAGAGGACGAGGAGAAGGAGGAGGAGGAGGAGGAGGAGGAGGAGGGGGAGGAGGAGTACGAATAGGAGAAAACGGAGGAGAAGGAATCCGCTTGAGGCCGTCTTATGGCTTCCTGGGGGCTTCCTGGGAGCCACTTGGGAATCTCTTGGGGGCTTCTTGGGGGGCCTGTTGGGGTCTCTTGGGGGCCTCCTGGGGCCTCTTGGGGCCTCTTGGAGATCCTTGTCTTGGGGCCTTCTGGGGCCCTCTCGGGGCGCTCTTGGATCCTCTTGGGCGTTTCTCAGGAAACCCTGTTTTTTTTCCTGGGTCGTTTTGGGCAGGGTCGCCGTCCAGGAGACTCACCAGACAAACCCCAGGAACACCAGTGAATTTCGGGAATTTCGTGGTCCGGGCTTTGTCGAGCTCTCAGCATCGCAGGAGCCTCGGGCCATTCCACCACTTGTGGCCATCGCAGTAGTGGATATATGCTGTACAGACCACATGTATCCGAAACTCATGTGCGCATGCCATAGTTACGTGTATACATATATATATATATATATATATATATATTTAAGTGCTGTTCATGTATACATGATCTGCATGCATGCATGTGTGTGTATATGCATGTATGCATATATGCATGCATACATGCATGCTTGCATGCATGCATACGTGTCTGTATATTTGTATTGAAATATGTATATATGTATGCATGTATATATATACATATATATATATATTTCGGTGTATATATATATATATGTATGCATGCATATACGTATGTGTGTATGGATGTATGTGTGTATGTATGCATGTAACTATGAATGCATGTATGTATGTATGTATGCATGTATGTATGTATGCATGTACGTACGTACGTACGTACGCAGGTATGTATGTGTGTATGTATGTATGCATGCATGCATGCATGCATGCATGTAGGTATGGGTATGTGTAGGTACGCATGTATGTATGTATGTATGTATGTATGTATGTATGCATGCATGCATGTATGTATGTATGTATGTATGTATGTATGTATGTATGTATGTATGTATGTATGTATGTATGTATATATGTATGTATGTATGTATGTATGTATGTATGCATGTATGTATGTACGTCTGCCTGCCTGCCTGCCTGCCTGCCTGCCTGCCTGCCTGTCTGTCTGTATGTATGTATGTATGTATGTATGTATGTATGTATGTAGATCTATGGTATGTACGAACGTATGTATGCATGCATGTATGTCTGTATGAATGTTTGTGTATATGTCAGGGCGCTGTCGTATTCCCCACTCCTGCTAAACTCGATGCGTTTTTTCTAGAACGTTGACGAGGCTCGTTTTTTTGGGGAGGGGGGGGGGCAGCGGGGCTCCTTGCCTCGATGTGCATATCAGTCTCCTTCAATTTCTCGCGAGCGGCAACTCCAGAAGGTAGTGTGCACGATGGGCATCCGTTGGCGCCATGTACTAAAAGCAGAACCGCGCGACTCATGATCGACCACGGCGTCACGAACGGTTTCTCGATCTCGCGAGCAGCAGCACAAGCCAGATAGTGTACATGACAAGCGGCATATTGGGCTGTACAGAGACAGGGCCGCGAGACCCATGAACGACCGCGATGCCACTAACGTTGCTGCGGGCCAGGGGCACGGCTACCACCACCGTTCTATCACAGCGTTACTGCCTCTTCTGAAGTGCTGAGAATGCGATTAGTTATTATTACTACTACGGCACGATTCATACTCTAGCATAGCAGTACGAGGGTGCTGCTGCAGTATTAGATTACTACCATACCAGGGTACTGCTGGCCAAATGCTACAGCCAGTTCTCGACGACTACTACACTACGACAGTGCAGCGAGTTTTGTAGAGCCCAGACAAGACAATTGTTACGGCAGTATTGCTACTACTGTGCTGCCGTACTGCAGCGCCACGGCTACAGACAGCACCAGAGTACGACCACTACTACAATGCTGGAGTACTACTGCTCGTACTACTGCAGTCCCACTGCGTACTTGAGTAATCTAATAACAGCGGGTACTATAGTACGAGTGCTACTGCAATCCTAGAGTACTACTGCGAACCCATACTTACAGCAATACTCTTGCAACCACTGTTCTAGAGTACTGCTGCTAATACTACAGTGTCATTACTACCACACTACGGCCGGATTCGCGTGCAATTACAAGAGTACAGTTTAGTAGACTCCGATTGTATTATTCCTGCAGCCATCACGGCAGTACGCGTACTACCATTACGACTACGCAGTCACAAAACTACTGCGACTACATTCGATGATTATTTATTCAATACTACTACGGCACTGCGGTATAGGGTAAGGCTGCCGTGCTTAAGTATTACAAAATTGGAGTTTCACTACGACGGCGGCGGGCACTACTACTTCTACTACTACTACTACTACTACTACTACTACTACTACTACTACTACTACTACTACTACTACTACTACTACTACTACTACTACTACTTACTACTACTACTACTACTACTACTACTACTACTACTACTACTACTACTACTACTACTACTACTACTACTACTACTACTACTACTACTACTACTACTACTACTACTACTACTACTACTACTACTACTACTACTACTACTACTACTACTACTACTACTACTACTACTACTACTACTACTATCACTACTACCACTACTACTACTACTACTACTACTACTACTACTACTTCTTCCACTACTACTACTACTTCTTCTACTACTACTACTACTACTACTACTACTACTACTACTTCTACTACTACTACTACTCTTACCCCTACTTCTACTACTCTTATTGCTACTACTACTACTACTACTACTCTTATTACAGCCACTACCCTAACACCATTAGTACAGTGCTAGCAGCATTACCCGCGTAGAGTATTACAACAGTGCTACGGTACTGTGGTGTTGGGGTATTCTTGCTACAGCTTTGTGGAATTCGTAATGCAAGCAACCATCGAGTATTACTCTTACTAGAACGCTGCCTTTACACTGCCACTACTACACTACTACAAAACTGTTCCTACAGTACCGGTACTACCGCACTACGGGTCGAGGATACTGCTATTGTGCTCGGGTGCTACAGTCGTGGGTTACTTCTATTGCAGGATGGCGTTGCTACTGCTACAGCTAGCACGGGAATCTGATCCTTATTGCAATAGGTGAGTACTGCTACTACGACTGCAGGATTATTTTAGTGCTGATAATTTATTTTTGTCATACTATTTCGGCGGTTCTAGAGTGCTACTGGAGTAGAGCATCATTCGTATTACAAAATTTTAGTCTCATTACAATTATTATTGCTATTACTACCACTACTACTACTACTACTACTACTACTACTACTACTACTACTACTACTACTACTCCTACCACGACTACTACTATTAGTAGTAGTAGTAGTAGTAGTAGTAGTAGTAGTAGTAGTAGTAGTAGTAGTAGTAGTAGTAGTAGTAGTAGTAGTAGTATTACTACTACTACTTCTACTACTATAAATACTATTACTACTGCTAGTACTACTACTACAATTCCTACTACTACTACTACTACTACTACTACTACTACTACTACTACTACTACTACTACTACTACTACTACTACTACTATTACTACTATGACAGTCCGTGTTAGAGCACTGCTACTACGATGCACTCGAATTTATGATCGCGTATTGCTGCGCTACTGTTAGCGCAGGAGTGTACCAGTATGATATTACTACTTAAAATCTAAAGTGCTGCGCCGGGGGAGTGTTTGAGTTTTGCTATACCATGACGGCAGGACTTCCAATACAGGCAGCACTTGCCCAGCGGCGGCGTTCCCGCCTTGCTGCTTGCGCCCTGGCACGGGGTGCTGGCTGGCACGGCCGCGGCCTGCTTGATTGTTTGCTTACCGCATCGCATCTGGGGTGCGCGTCCGCACCTGGGGTTGCAGTTCGTATCTATTTTTGGCTTTAGCTGTATGTCAGTTTGATTGTCGGCATCTACGCGTTGGCGTAGCCCGTTGGCGGGTTCGCTTTGCTCGTGTTCGTTCACTTTGTCGCCTTCGGTCGGAGTGGTGCGACGTTGAGGTGACGCGTGCAGTCTCTATTGAGCCCAGGTGGTTGCCTTAATGTTTGCTTCCGCCTACTCATGGTAGCTCTCCGCGGCTTTGGCTGCGGTGGGGCTGCTGTTTTAACGGTGGAGCCTGCACTGCACGTTGGCCACGCTCGCGCCTGTCCACCACCCATGGATATTCTCGCGCCTGTCCACCACCCATGTGCGCCGTCGCGTGAAGCGGTTGCTGCTCGCGGTCGCTCGCGTTCAGCTACGTTTTTGGTTGCCCAAGGCTATGTTCGCCTCGGCCGCGTGACCATCTTTATCGCGCCGACCTCTTGCATTATGTTCCACGGCGCTCTTGTGTTCGTGCCTGTTGCAAGGCCAGTGGCGTCGCTTTGTCGCGCAGCTCCTTGCTGTATGCGCCGCCACCAAGCTGGCTGGTCTGGCAACCATGCAGATTTTTGGTCGCCTCTTGAGGCTCTTATGCGCACCAAACTGCTGGTTGCGCTTCAACCTCTTGCGTTGAGCTTTCGCTCCGTGGGTTCGTTGGCCGCCGCATCTTGGTTTTGCAGCGCTTCACTTTCCCACCAATCTGCAGGGCCGTGGCTGTATTCTTTCATACGCGCGCGTTCCACTATGTTCGTTCGCAGTTGGCACCTCCACCTGCCGACCGCGCCTGAGGTTCCTCTGCGCCGCCGACTAAAAAGTGTGGGTTGTGTGTCCTCGGGCGGGGGGGGAAAGAACACATAAACAAATCATGTCAATGTGTCTACATCATTTGTTAGTTGTTTTCGTATGTTTCTTTGTTTTTTTTGACCCCCCCACGCACGCCAACAACACCAATACATGTGGAGAGTGGGCGCACCTCATGAGGGCTCCTGTCAGGAGTCCGGATAGACCGTGGGTTGCGCGGGACAGTAGGCGCGTGTATGCATGTATGTGTATCTATATTGATCCTGGCCAAGAAGATTGGGGTTGCAAAAATCCCGCATCACGGGGACACGCCCGAAGTCGTCGTCAATTGTGGCGAGTGGGCCGAAAACTTCACAAACAAATTTTTGTGCATGTCAGTCGGTGTCGGGGAATACGCCAGGACCCACACATATACATATACATACACATACACATATATATGTATATTTATATATACATATACAATTACATCGTCATTAACATGTACACAAACATTTCCACACATCTACATTTACACATATAGGTCCGTTTCTATATGCATATACATTCTCAAATACGTAGGCACTTCCATTTGCATACACACATTTACACATACATATGCATACACACACGTGCATATATTGTTACGGAGACATTCACACATACGCAAACACATCGATATTCATTCATATGTGTATATACATATTATACGTGTATATCCATATATCCACATGCATAAACGCCTATACATACAGGTACATACACGTACACATCTACACATGCACAGACATACGCATATGCATACACATACAAGTGTGCACGTATGTGTACATATACACATTCATTCACACATGCATCTGCGCATGCGTATGTACATGTGCACATGTATCTACGTGTGCAGAGACGTAACCATATACACATTCATGCATATATATAACCATAGTTACAAACATGTACACACATACATACTCATACACATTTGCATATCCATATAACCATACACAAACATATACATGTACATCTACATAAACAGGCACACATCCATACACAAATGCACATACAAACACATGTGCATATACATTCGCAACATTTACAGTTACACATACATATGCAAACACATATGCATATACATACACATATATACACATGTGCATGTCCACACATTTGTACACACACAAATAGTTACACATACATATAAGCGTGCTTATGACACCTGTGAGCTATATTGTACAATCTACGTGCAGGTCTTATGTAAACATCACATGCTTTTTATGCTACGTATCATCTTGTCTCAAGATGCGCGCAACGAGTTCATGCACTTGCGCTTCGCTCGCTGTTGTCGGCACGCCGACCTCAAGCATCAGTGCGCGCACTCGGTGCCCCCCCCCCCCGCGTGCCCCTTAGCAGGAGGGCGACTTCCTGCAGTTCCAGGCGAAGAGGAGCAGGGAGGGCCACCCCCAGGCTGCTCGCGCGGGACCCCGTGTGAGCAGGATGGGCATGGGTTCTCGAGTGGCGGGTTCTGGAATGGCGGGTTCTGGATTCGCCAGATGTGCCACGTGCTCCCCGTACGCCAAGTGTGCCGCTTGCTCCTGCCGCGCCAGGTGCGCCACGCGTAGAATGTGCCAGGTGCGCCCGCACATCTCGGGAACCATGTCGGCCCCCGCCGTCTTTGTCGAAAGCCACTGCACAATCGCGGCGGGGTGGTCATCATTGTGTCTGATGGGCCTGCATGCAGCGGGCAATATGCCAGCCCCCCCGCCGCCCCTGTCAGAAGCTGATGAAAAGTGATCGCGGGGTGCCCGCGCATGATCCAGTTAGTGTGGTTTTGGACAGGGGTGGTCGCCCTGCACAGCATGCAATATACGGGTTCCTCCACCGTCCCTGTCAACAGACAATAGAAAGTGCTCGCGCCTCCCCCGATTATGACCCAAGATCTCGCCGCAAAGTGCACTTCGCATTGTGTTTGGCCAGGGATGGCGGGGGGGGTGTCCGAATGGTCCGGGGTTTGTTGCTGGTCGGATGGGGGAGGCTGTAAATTGACTAGGAGGAGTGGCGAACCATTCCTCCGAACAGAGGAAGGAGCTTCTTCGAGGAGGGAAGACGCAAACTCTTCATACCACCTCCGCCCAGAGGGCTATTGGGATTTCGGGCATGACATGTCCGAAGACGACAGATGCACAACAGGAGTATAGTCACCGCGGCAAGTAGCGACTATTACTGTGTCGCTGACATTACCTCTGAAACTA